CTAAACCATCTTACAGCTTCCAATGGAATTTGCGAGCCCTAGTTTAAAGCAAATGTAATCGATTTTTCGCTAATTGCAAGCGAAGGGCTATAAATAATCAATTGAAATTTTGGGAAAAATTTATTAGTACGTAATTGTGATTTCACCAAGCGAAATTGGATAATACATTGTTTATAATGATCAGGAATCGAAAAATTTTATGAAATAAAAATCTCACATTCTGTTATATATTTTTCCTACAGAGTCTTCATAAGTACGACTGCAACAAATGTAACGACGATAATAGTATATAACGCCATCGTACGCCGATTGATATATAAAAACATTGTAAGACATTAAAAAATTTATACTCGAGCATCGAAATTAAAACGACGACGGTCATGTTTTCTTTCTTCCTCTCCTTCATTTTATGATAAGAATTTTATTTTCTACTTTTTTTTTTCTGGCTGGTCAGTTCACCAGCGTTTTAAACCATGCATACCTATCTACATATACATTTGTATGTATACATATATATATATATATATATATATATATAAGCAAGTATACATTGTTTAAAACATATAAAAATTGTATGTACATATATGTGCATAGAGAACACATCATATATATTTACATATGTATTGCATTCAAAAAATTTGCCACCAGCAAAAACCGCATCAAAACTAAAGGTATATAATTGTTGAGAAATGAAAGGAAAAATAACCGGTAATGTCTACTTAATAGACACCTTAAAATTTTGCATCTATTGCATGCGAATGTAGACGCATTTATCTAACGAATTGGAAAATATTTTCGCATCTTATTAAGCGAAATATTTAAGAATCGCTTTGAAATTTTCTTACGATTTTTATCTGCTGTGGATATATTTGTGGTCGAATTGAACCTATTTTCAAATTTCATTAGTGTATCACATTTTAATTTTCTTCCCATTTCGTTCAATTAAAAACTTCCCCTATTTACAGTGAGTTTCATTAATATAGGGTCTTTTTGCTCGACAACTTGTAAATGCTTGTTATAGTCCTAACATAAAAACTTTTTTTTTACTATTTTATACTATGAGGGAATACATATTAATATATATAAAAAAAAAATATAAAAAAAACAACAACAACTTTATTCCAGTAGATAAGAAAATTAAGTTACTCTCAAAAAACATAGCATCATTAATATTGGGGTTTTTTTTCGAATAAGGGAGGATACGAAGATAAAAGAACCAGCATATTATTAAAAATTAATATTCGGTGAGGTATCCATTTTGCTTAATAACGTGATTTAAACGTTTTGACATATTTTGTATAATTTTTCTTATGTAGATAACAGGGATCTTACTCCATTCGTCTTGTAGTCTATTTTCTCATCTTGAACGGAAGAGACCGGCTACATGCCGGTCCAATTCATCACACATATATTTTTGATGGGATTCATGCTTACTGATTGGGGAATAGGGTGAAGCACTTTACGGCAGCTATATATGATCCATTCTTAAATTGAGCGGGACTTAGACTTGAGGTCGTTGTGTTGGTAAACTTTGAATGTTAAGAAAATACGAAGTTTGTGTGCAGTTTCTTTCAAATCCTTTTCTTCAATATCCTTAATCAATGTCATCGATGAGCACCAATTTTCCAACTCCATTGGCCCAATGCATAATAAGCCATAATATGACCATTGCCATAGTCTTCGTAAGCCGCTGGTGACAAGAACGTAATAGGAAGCTTTTTGAGTTCTTGAAGTTATTTAATTTTCTTATCTACTGGAATAATGTTTTGTTTGCTGTACAAAATTGTAAAAGAAAAAAAAATTTCATATTTGGACAATGGACTAGGCGTTTACTTTTTGTCAAGTGAAAAAATCCAATATTAATGACACTCACTGTATATATTTATAGACAAATTTTATATATAGATATTTATTATAGGTTTACATACATATATATAAATGTGTGCGTGAGTTTCATCGTTCATGCACATCTTTGTATTGGAAACGGAATGAGAAACTATTATATTCACAAATACAATTTCTTGTGATGAGCATGAAAAGTGTTCATGTAAAAGTTGATTAAAAATTACCAAAAATCCATTAACTTTATTTAAATTTTTACAATCTTTATATAGGTAACGCTCTTAAATCACTTATTGATATCTCAGCCATAGGCAATCTCGCACACAATTAATGCAAATCTAGCAACTAATGATTGCAATTGCAAGATATGAAATTATCGTTATTTGTTTGTTAGGGAGAGAGGTAATGGCAGCCGCATCAACATAAATCTCCAATCATTGTCAATTTAAAAATTCATTTCTACAAAATACAGCAAATCAATTTGTATGAATATACACATACACGTACATATATTGTTCACATCCTTATATATATATATATATATATATATATATATATATGCAAGTAGCAGCAAACATGAACGAACACAAGTCCAACACCAGTCAATTAGAGAAAAGATTTTTGAAATTATACAATGGCCGCATAGATTAGTTAGGTATGATGCGTTTGGAGAGATAAGATGTTAACGTTGACCATATGCGTATACGTACGTACGTATGACGTTCGTGTATGCACGATTGTGTTGCTTAACGTGAACGTGAACGTCTGTCTCATTCAGAGAATAGCCGCGCTAAGCATAGGCTTCGACTGTATTAACAAAAATAATATGTTGGATGAGCGAGTATTGCGTTTTATGAAATCAATCAAGAATCTATTTAAAAAAAAAAAAAAAAAAACTTTTGCTCAACATATTCGATATATATATATATTTTCTTTCATCTTTAATTCACTCTTACTGAACCGCACTGTTCGATAGGGGTTTTTGCTTCGCTTTATATTCTCTGCGTTTGTTTTACTCTACTTCTCCAAACACTTGTCTGTAAGTAGAGTTAATGCTGTTCAATAGTCTTGTTCACTGTCAATTACCTCAAAATTTATAGTCCTTTCATATGCGACAACCGTGAGCAGGGCAATGATGAACAAAGTTTTCGAGTTTCTTAAACAAAAGACAAGTCACGATTTTAAATTTAAATCGAAATCAAAAAGCAAAACAACGGGATTTTCAGACCTTATTAAAGTAAACCAAAGCAATAACATGACGTATGTATAAAATACGAAATAAAATGAAAAGAATAAAAACAAGTAAAGAAAATGATATTCGGTCGTGACCGAATCTTTTACACCCATCACAATTCAGACAAAAAAAAGTAAAAGAACTACGTTTTCATCCTCTATAAAAATAGAGTGAATGGATGAGACTGATTTTTTTTCAATTTCCAAATAAAAGTTTTTGTCGTATAGGCGCGTGAATGTTGTAGGCATGTACTTTGAAAAGTTTAGGGCGACAGTTTGGCTGACAAACAGGCGGACAGGCGGACAGACGGACAGACGAACAGACGGATACGTTTGAGTGCACTCCAAATTTGAAACTGACCCAGATTTTATATACTTTCATACGGATTTCGAAGCTTGTTTCTGCACCTTGATAGGTATTGAAAAAAAATTAAATTTCAATACTTAATAATATTGAATGGACCTGGTCAATTCTTCCAATTTTTCTGCAAGTGCTAAGGCATCGACCATAGAACATGAGTTCAAATTTTGTTAATTTATAAAAAAAAAAAAACAATTTTTTACTCTCAAAATTGCAAATTTACGTGATGCTGTGGGTGTGTTCTTCGATCGATTTGTTCCATTTCCAGAAACTTTCAATATTTTGGCTAAATATGAAGTCGATAGCTTCGTTTTTGCGGCCACGAGAATTTTTACAATAGACATTACACCGACGGACAGACAGACATGCTTAGTAAATTGATTTAGAATTTGATGATGAGCAAGAATATATATACATTGTGGGGTCTTTGACGATTCCTTCTGGACGTTACATATGTTTTGTGAAAATGAATCAACCTCACATCCTTCGATGATGGGTATATAAAAACAACACAAAATCAAAAAATAACGAAAGGGCCAATAATAATAATAATGGTGATGAGATTGTTTGTAGATGTAGCCATTGTTCATGTTATTTATTTATTTTATCTTTTTTTTTTTTTTTTCTTCCTTTTTTTGTGTTTCTGCCTTCACGTATATCTCTCTTTAGTTTCGTAGCAATCGTTAAAGGATAAAAGTATATTAAATTTGTGATTCTATTTGTAATAAATAAATAAGCATCAATAACTTTATAAAATACATATATATCGTTCTCTGTGATCGGAGCTTTTAAGATCGAAGCATCGGAAACCTAAAAAATCGAGACGTAGCATATGTGTGCATTTTTAAGTTGAATGCATAGATCGAGTCTGACTTGCACGCAAAGTGCATCAGAAAATGGAAAGCAATTTAAGATTTCTCAAGATTATTTTTGATAGTTTTGCGGCTAAGCAAGAGTTATCTACCTATGAGCTGGGCAGAATCAGTTAAAATTTCTTATCGCTCCGTGTAGTAACACACCCGCAATTATCAAAAGCCTTCATTCTTGTTCAAATGTAACGTATCCAATATTCATCGTAAAACAAATGTAATTTTCTTCACTTTTGATTTTTAGGAGGATATTTCTGCATTTTGATGATGTTGTTGCAACTTCGTCAATTGTAACTTTTGATTTTCTTCTTGTTGTTGCTTTAATTGCTTATTATATGCGCATGCAAAGAACAGGTTATAGATTAGCTTTGTAGAAAATCCTGTAAGTTTACTTTGCTTTGAAACCATTTTACCTTCAGTATACTTTGCTGAGATTGCTTCCCTCAATACATCCCCAATTGAAAATCATATTTCGATCGTCAGTTAATTAATTAAACTCTGTAATTTAAAGTACTCGAAAATATCATACAAAAAAAAAAAAAAAAAATTTAAAAACCTTCTAAAAATAAGTGCTGGAAACTAATGTCCAGTCCCTAGCCTGTATTGCATAACAAGTTATCTATCCGGAGTAAAATATTGTTTTTATTATCTGTTGTGCATGAATATCTCATATTAACATTAATGGAGATGCTTACCTGTTACGGTATTTTCGCGGGTATTGTTAGCAACATCTACCGCACCAAGCGTTGTTGATCCATTACCCAAGCCGTAGTTGGAAGGTTTCTTCCACCCGCGCCAATTATTATACAAGGATTCAGGCTCTGAACTCCAACTACATAATGAGTCCTCTTCGAAACGGTCCGAATCGTCAAAACTGAAATGATCCATATCCTCATGAACCCATTCAGCAGCAGCTGCTCCTTCAGCAGCGGCAGCAGCAGCCGCTGCATTAGCAGCATTTCGGCGATTATTGACGCTAGCAGCGGCATCAGCTGCTGGCCCATTACCGCCATTACCATTATTACTATTGTTGTTATTGTTACTATTATTACTACGATTAACCATTTTTACACGCACACCCTAAACGCAAAACGTTGATCCTCAAAAAATTAGCCAATAAAGGGGAGTTTCTTTAGAATTTAAATATTCTTTCTTCTTCTTAATGATATTTCATATTAAAAGATTTCAAAAATATGGAGTTTTAAAATTTATTTACACATTGGAAAATTGTTACAGTATTTTCCTCAATTCTTTGTTTATTAAATAAACGTAAAATGTTTGATGGATGATTTTTTGGTTTTTACTCCCAACAACGCGACACAAAATAACCTTAAGATTCCAAATTAAAATGTTTCATTTCTTTTTCAATTTTTTTAAATACGTTCTCTCCACGTACTATGTGAACTCGTTTTAAACGTGGTGAAACAAATTAAACAACTGCCATGAAGTGGGGAAGCTTTGTTTTATCGTTTATTCACCCCCCACGAATGTTCTGTGGAACATAAGCAACTCAAATATTGTATATGGTGTTAAAGAAAATAACAACAGAACGAAAAAAGAATTGCACGCACACACCCGAATAACAGAATTTTATCCGTTGATTTCGATAGGGATGTAAGGTATAAAGTTTATACCAACACAAACACAAATGCAAGCAACGCGACGATGGCAACGCATTCGTTGCTTTCAAGTTCCTTTGTATGCTAACATAAAATCAACTGCAGCGTCCCAGCAATACAAACATCGTCAATAAACAAAGCGTAAACGTCAGAGGAGTAAAAATATCACTCAATAAGCTGCAAGTGAGACAGGCAGTTCCCAAAGATCTACAGATCTCTCGAGCACACTCTTTGATATGTTCGCATTTGTTGACAAAGATGCTGATCAAAAGGAATGGGAGTTAAAAAAAAAAAAAAAAAAAAAAAAAAAAAAGACATTCAAAACAAAGCGAATACACCGAAAAAATATCTCCCCAATTCAATGCTCCTGTTGCCGTCGTGCTTGTGGTTGTTGCTATTGTTATTGTTGCTATTGTTGTTGCTCTTCCTATGTACGGCTAGTGTATTATGTGTTGATTGTTTATTTTCACCGTTCTTTTTCGATAGGAGTTTAGTTAAAGTTGATTCGCGTTTAGGTACCTTTTCTCTTGCATATACTCGTGTGCATGTATGTGTTACCGTACAATGACTTTGTAAACACGAATTGATGTCTTGCGCGTAAACACAATTCAGAAAATAAAAAATTCACAATATCGATATCAACACTTTGAAAGGGCAACATATATCTATCTATATCTATATACACGTATATATATATATATATATATTTATATATATATATATGGATATATATACATGTATATTTATATACATATACACCAATAAACAATCAAATTCAACAACTCCAAAAACCAGTATCTCCTAACTCACACACAAACACTAATCATTTTTTTGTAATTTTTCCTCTTTTTTTCTCTTTTACGGAACCCAACAGCTGCTTTTTTTTGTGTGTTTTTTTCTTAAGTTGGTTCTCTACTCTCTGCTGCTGTAATTATATTTTGTTTACATACTTTCTTGTATTCATTGTTATTATTTTTCTAAATGCGTTATGAATTCGCCTTCTTCGCTCTACCTTCATCCACTAATCATGAATTCGCTTCATTTTTTCTACACTTTACTTTTTTTTTTCTATTCTTTTAAGGAAAATTCTTTTCCTTCACAAATGAAATATTTTTAAAAGAGATTTTGTGGATAGTTTTCTTGTAAAATTTTCAATGCTCTTTTGCATCATTTGCTCATTTAATGAATAATTACTTAATCAATATTCTGCACATATTTTTGTTTAGAGAACTTTTTTCACTTTTTTTCTTGCTTACACTGTGCTATCATTGTTCGTTTCGCCTGCAACACTTATATTTGTTCAATAAATTCTCTTTTAAATTTTACATTTTCCTATAAGTTTCTTTAAACACTGAATGCACAGAATTGTCTTTTCAATTATTGAGATACTTTTAACTGGAAATTTAGAAATTCTCTACAATTATCTATAATTTTTTTGTCGCGTCGTGGGGAGCTAAAAAATTCCTTTGTCGATATTTTCGCTGTAACAAAATCTCACTTAAAACACTGCTGCCATGGCTTTCAAAAAATATGTTTAGTAGGTTTAATTCATAATTATCACAAAATTGTCAGGGATAAAAATAGAGTTCAGGATGAGAGGCGATGTAAATTTGTATAACATTTATAACGCAAAGCACGCAATGTCAAGTACAAAAATCAAGTTAAATCCGTATTTTATTACAACTCTGTATGAAGAATTTAGCCGTAACCATAAAAGAAACGTATATTTTTTAACAATATAGCTGCCAAGCTCGGCCACAAAAGGAATTTCAATGGGAATCTTTCCTTTAGCTAATTAATTACTTTAGTTGAAATTTGAGAAAATTTCAAAAAAACTTTATTAAATAAATTCTTAGACCAAAAAAGGAAGCATTGAATTTAAAAGAAAAGAAAAAACTTTATTATACTATTTTTTTACTCAGAAATGAAGAGATGTCATATAGACAAACAAATTTTTTCTTTTATAGGCCAGCGGCTTCATTTTTTTACAGCAACCTTAATCGCGATATCTAGAATTGAATTTTTCTGATTGTATTACTGAAAAATCATTCAAATTTGAAAAACTTAGTTTTGGCTGGAGAGAGAAATATAAGTAATCGCAAAATAAAAATATGATAGAATTAGAATGGTTTAAAATAAAGAAGTTATCATAATATAAAAATACAAATATGATAAATAAATTTGTAAATTTTCTAAAATAAAATAAGCAAAATGTTTCAATTAGCTCTCTTACAAATAATCTGGCAACTCTTCAAAACAGCATTCTTGCAGTTTTAGTAATTTTGACAAACCTTCACTACTATACTTTCTTTTACCGTATCCGGTTCACGAAGTTGGGTCAGTTTTTCATAAAGGTTTCTCAAATATTTGGAAAATTCGTATATAATTTATGAATATCACCGTAATAGCAAAGTGTCATTAAATACTAACATTTTTAAACATTAGAATTATTTAATTTCGGGAATACAAGGTGGTGTTTATATTAACGATGTTTATGAATAAGTTTTTGACTTACAGAAGATACATGGTTTTCTTTTTTCCTAATTCGATAATAAAATTGTTTTCTAAAGCGTTTGATTTGTTTTGTATTTTAACACATAGATAATTAAACAAGATGGCACCCCGTAAAGCTAAAGCTCAAAAGGAAGAGGTCCAAGTATCTTTGGGTCCTCAAGTGCGTGATGGTGAATATGTTTTCGGTGTTGCACATATTTATGCAAGTTTTAATGATACATTCGTGCATGTGACCGATTTGTCGGGCCGTGAAACCATAGCTCGTGTCACTGGTGGCATGAAAGTGAAAGCAGATCGTGATGAAGCTTCTCCCTATGCTGCTATGTTAGCAGCCCAAGTAAATTTCGTTCGATTCTACGTTATTGAGTAAATAAAATTACTGACATTATTAACAATATTTTATGTGACAGGATGTTGCTGAAAAATGTAAAACATTGGGTATTACTGCATTACACATCAAACTGCGCGCTACAGGTGGCAACAAGACTAAAACCCCCGGTCCTGGAGCCCAGTCGGCACTAAGAGCTCTGGCTCGTTCATCCATGAAAATTGGCCGCATTGAAGATGTTACACCCATTCCGTCGGATTCAACTCGCAGAAAGGGTGGCCGTCGTGGTCGCCGTTTGTAAACGAAAGGCGAGCTTTTCTAATTTTTTTTTTTAATAAGTTAAAGTGAGAATAAAAAAAAAATTGAATATGAACTTTCAATGAGGTTTAGATTTTATGAATGTATACAAGTCAGGAATTATATTTCCGATTGTCATTTATGTACATCACTCAATGATCTTAACATATTGACGACGTTACGTTACAATAAGCAGCTTACGGTTGCATCGTAATGAAATAACGACCAGTCATAATTTATTTTTTAGAGTATAACTTATAATGGATATGTGTACTGTTGCTCATAATATAGAATTTGTTGCACAGTTGAACGATCTCGCTCCATTCAAATGAATTTCTTTTGTACGTCATTAAGTCGTAATTAAATCTGGAGTGCTATCGTAAGATTTGTACGTAAAGTATTTGTTAAATATCAAATAATCTGTAAATTACCCTATAAAAGGCTTAATCTCGAACAATAATAATTGATTAGGAATTTGAAGTTGATAGTGGTATTAAAGACATCCACACAAACACCGCTTTCGTAGTTGTTTTTTGTTCCCTTGCTAGTTGTGCTGGATTTGTAATCGTTTAGAAAAGATTAGCTTTCAATTTTGTATAATAAATTTTATATTTTAGCAATAATGTCACCTATCGTTCGCTAAAAGTAGAGTTGGTTTCCCAAATTTATATAAAAAATTTGGGAAGTTTACAAAGAAAATGAATCTTAATGTATTTCTTACGAACAAATTGAACACTTTTTTTTTTTCTCTGGCCACTACAGCACTATATATATGCATATACTATTATTGTACGTAGCACAACAAAGCGGAAATTTTCCGAAAGTATGACTCAAAATGCGGCTTTATGCTTTGTTCGAAAAATTATTTTAAAAAGAAAAAATAGCGACTTGATTTTTATGGAAAAATCGCTCGAAAAATTTCGAAATTTTATAAATGTATGAAGGAAACTGTTCGATGCTCATTAGACAATTTCGCTTTTCAGCTGCAATTAAATTTCCAAGGCAATCTTGTGAATTTATTGTTTCGAGAAGAACTTCTAATCTCTCATATCTGATGTATACAATTGGTTTAATAATAGTCCTGAGCATTTCTATAGTCGCGAGGAAGTCAAAAAATTGCAAGTTAATGGCTCCTAGGCTTCTAGGAAAATTTGAGAAAGAAAGAAAAAGGATAACCCATATATTCGTTCTGGTCTCGGTCGATATTCTGAAGAGTTTTCATTAGCTTAATCTCTTGCTAATATTTTAAAAACTCAAATCATTAAAGAAAATTGATTCATTAACAAATTGCTTAAGGTTAGTGGAAGCTTCTTTGAGTGATTGAAGTAAGTTTTTGTGATTTTGTTATATTTGGCTTTTATGTTACACTGTACATATGCCTTTCTCGAACTCGACAGTAAGTGTTCAAATCATAAAATTATGCAGTCATAGCTCATCATTTCTAACACGATGCGTTCTTTACTCCTTGGCCTTGATTTGTTTCGTTAGTTAATTATTGACGATAGCATACTTATATACGTATTCAGGATTTTATAAATGGTTCTGTTTCAGAGCTGCTATAGTGGATCGGCCAGCAACCTTTATGTTGCAAATTGCGCTCTAATTATACTGGTAATACGAAATCTAATTGGTTCCATAAACCCTATAGGATTTATGTGATTGTCTTGAAAGAAGAAATGACTTTATATGTTTAATGTTTAGTCGTTTACTCCTACTTCCGTTCCGTTTTAAGCATTGTTTTTTATTGCCTCGCACCATTTTCCAATTGGAAATCTCTGTATTTTATTGTATGCTTTTATATAAAATATAAGCTTATTTAACTTTTTATTGATTGCATACATATACCCACAAATCGCTTTAAAGTCCTTAGGTCAAATTCAAAATTTAGTCAAAACAGTGAAATAGTGAAATAGATGCAACGATATCCCCCTATCCGTTTGTAAACGCCATACCATCGCAACTATGCCTTTAGAGCATTACTTGAAGTACTTGAAGACTTGATTTTAAATAATATCTTTTCGGTGTCGTGAGGATAACAAAAATTAATAAATATATTCGCCTGAAATTAGCGAAAAGCCATATACGTCATATTAGTTGCATTTTATGCTGTTTGTGAGCGCGCATCCGTGTTAGTTTACCAAAATTTAAAAAAAAAAAAATTTTAAATGTTTAGGACGTTTACAAATCAAATACCAATCACCCCAATATCCATAAATTGTGGATGTTCTCTATTAACTTGGTCAGCGGAAGCCATTTACTTCAGAGCATAATTACGACCATAAACCTTGATCTACGTTACAGTTCATGGTTTCTTCTCTCAAACTTCAAAATCAACAAAGCCGATCTATCAGTTCGACTGAAAATTAGGAAAGATCTACCTCACGAATTGTGTGTGTGTGTGTGTGTGTGTGTGTGTATGTGTTTCCCTTTATAATAACAAAGATTATATAGGACACTATTCATTTGCTAGTAATGCTGACATGTATTGTTTTAATAAATGGGACACGCAAACTTTCGTATGTAGTAGTATGCGATATTTTTAGCGCTACGATTGGTAAGTATTAAAAGATTCGATGTAAGTTGCATAGCTTCTCGATTTATTAAAACGCTTGAAGGATGAGAAAAAAACAAATTACTATTGTTGCCTTTTAATGCATTGAGTTGTTAAGTTTTTAATTATCTTTTATATGCTTGTTGAGGCTTCCGCCCTCTGTACGCTACGCTATAATACTTTCGTTTTCATCCTATGAGGAGGAAAAATGATAAAAAAAGAAAAGAAAAAAAACATTAAAATTGTGTGGTCAACAATCAAAAATAAATCAAATAAAAAAAGTTTAAAATTTACATTCGCTCGATGACAAACCTTTAATATACACCATTTCCAAGCAATATATTGAAATTGTTAAGCATATTATTAAATATGTGTTAGTCGAACGAGATGATTTTTACAAGAGTTTTTTTTTTTTTTTGTAGTTAGCTTGAAAATATTTGTGCTGGGTTTTAGACTGATGTTCGCTATGTTTGCTCGGTTGGACTTGGTCGCGAGTGATGCCGGGCGGTTTTCACACTCAACCTATGGCTATTAATTAAGAGTGTACCAGATCCATTTTCACTTATTGTCTCTTATTTTTGCGACAATCAGCGGCCCGCGATCAGGAAATAAATCACTTCTCAATCGTATGCTGATCACATATTTTTTGGGTGTCGTGAGTCGTTAAGAAGCGGCAAATCTTGTGTATTAATAACTTGTTTTGTCAATTACAAACAAGTGAAAACATTATAGTGGGTCACGGCTCACTATAAAATACCTTAAACCATTTTGCTTAATATCGCTATTTATATATATAGAGTTTTTAAAATAGGGAATAGGGCCCGATCCGAATCATTTTTCATAGCGTTCATCTTTGCGGGGAAAACATGTCAGAGTAACAAATTTCATAAAAGTATCTCAAAAATTGCGATCTGTAAACTGATTACAAGAATATAATACGGACGTAGGCATTGACAAGCTTAGATCGACATAATATACAGCGGGCCTATCTGAAGTTTTTCTCGGTGTTGCAAACATCCGCATTGTCCGACAATCGGTGTAGGGTATAATTAATCTAAGTTTATGTAAATAAATTCGCTTCATTGATACTAAAATTGTTTTTGGATCTGTTTGGCCTATGCGGTGGATTTTTAAATAAAAAATTATTTAAGTGGCATTCAATGTATTCCTCACGAGACAGCGTTTGCCATAAAAGTATTTATTGAATTTCATTCTTTGTCGATAAGAGAACATTTTACAAATGTGTGTGCGTCGCATAAGATTTAATGATGAAAACGGTTACCATAATGGGCGCTACATCAATTCGGAGCTGGATAATAACCTGGCACGATTAAACTATTTAGGCAACACTGGCAACGAAAAAAACCGGACAGCTTTTCTAATTTAAAAAAATTTACATAAAAAACATCCGTTATGCGAATCTCTACTGAAACGTAGAGAGTTGTGTTGCGAACAACCTTAAGCCGCACTTTGAAGGATTGGAAAGGACATTCTGCAGACAATACGATAGATTCAAACTTGCAATATACGATTCTATCAAGCAAGCTAAAGAAAACTCTCGAAAATTGTGAAAGAAGAAAGTTTTACGTACCGCAGTACAGGCAAACTTCACCTTCAATAACCATAACAACAACAATAACGTGCCAAAAGGACACTGACCGGAGAGCGAGGAAATGTATGCAATGTCATTAAGGAATGCTTTGCCGTACGTTAGCACGAGACTCGTTTCCAAATGGCCTGCCGTTGGAGGTGTAAGCTCGGCATACTTTCAGTTATTTGCTTTAAAGTCTTAAAGCCCTAGGTGTCTAGGCTAGCGTCTTTATTGAGAACTCTAACGTACTTGAGATTTAAATCCACGATCATTGACTTGTTAATCTAGATCCTTTGCCTATTCGGTCAGTCGCTATTCAAAAGAAACTCAAAAGTCGAAGAGAATTTATTTGTTTTATTATTAAACTCGGTGCACTACACTGCACCCTGAAAGGTTTTGTAGAAGTTGTGTCGAATGTTAAGGTCAGTTTGTGCGAAAATCTCAGCAATTGGTTTTAGAAGAAATCTCCAGGGGCATGACAACAAATTAAGCGGAACTGTATGTCTATGGTATTGACAAAGAAATGCCATAGGATTATCGAAGCATTTATACACTTATACTTTGATTTCTTCCCAGGAATGGCATTCATTTTCAAGTTTCACTTTCAAGATTTCAAAATCGCCAAACATTTGCCCTTTTTACTTGAGAAGTTACACATACGACAATGAAATGGGTCTGCCATCTAATCCGCATTGACGGTCGTAACAATGTGTCCAAGAATTAATGTGAGTTTATGGCATGCATAAAACATGCTTACCACGTATGGTCGGTACGTGTAAAAATTAATTGAGGCGGAAATTTAACACTTTAACATGCCATACAGTTAATATTACAACATTAACATGAACAACAGGCTGGAAAATAAATTAATATAGTCACTGTGTGCAAGCATATACAATCATCCGCATATGCACGTAAGCATATGTGCGTGTTATATTATA